GGGACTTCTTATGGAATGCTTTCGTCAAAAGCACCAGTCTTTCAGAAGGTGTTATTTTCCTTTCAGGTCTGGGATGCTCAAAAGATACAGAAATTCTCAAGAGGTAGGTCTGTCTTCATTCACAGAGGAACATCTTGGAAACACTACACAATATTTGGAAGAAGATATAACTTTATAAAAATGTTAGGATTGCTATTAGAGTTTTTCAAATGATCATTTTTTTCAGGTATTTGCTAAAGACGGTCACTGATTCCGAGATCAGGCGACAAGACAGACAAACAGTATTTGTATCCGTAGTGAACGGGAATCCAAGTAATTTTGACACAGCGCTGGACTTTTTGATTGAACACCAAAAGGAAATTGACGCCCAGTAAGTAATTTCACTTCTCTCTAGTTTCTATCTATGGATAATTAATGATAATGATAGGCCAATCTTGAATAATAATACAAATAGTCTATTATAGGCGGATGACCATCTTAAAAGAAACACTTTTTTTAATCAAAAAAGCGGCAGAAATAACATATTAAGCTTAAAATGTGTTTTTTTTAACATGTGTTACATAAATAAAGATCCATACAAAAAAGTTATACGTAACTTTGAAATTTGCATTTTGTCAGAATCTAATACACATATTACAGGCATACGTACTATGTAGGTATGTGTAAAAAAATTATTTGGTAAAACCTAATAATTTTCATTTGAAGAGATTGTTTTTTTGTATACTAAGTGACATATAAATCCGAACACCCAGTTTAAATGGGTTTATTTTAATAAAATTTTGTATAAGTACTTAATGAAGCATAATAAGTAAATGATAAAAATTTCAAAATGATTGCACTGTTTTTAAAGCCCTTTGACCTTTAATAATGTGTGGATGCACCCTATGTGCTACGCATTCTCCAACGCGCCTAGGCATGCTTCTGATCAGGTGGTCAATGTCCTCCTGTGGTATCTCATTCCAGCCAACCACCAACTCCTCTCGAAGTGCTTCTAGAGTCTGAGGAGGACGTTGCAAATTGAGCAATCTCCTACCCATCATATCCCACACGTGCTCAATTGGGGATAAGTCGGGAGATCTTGGTGGCCATGATAACAATGTGACATCATTATGTTGAAAGAAGTCTATTGTGACTCTTGCAACATGTGGTCGGGCATTATCTTGTTGGAAAGTTGGATCTACCAGGGTGTCAAGATAGGGTAAAAGATGGGGTTCTAGAACTTCGTGGATATAACGCTGCGCGTTCATGTTACCTCTGATGAAGATTAAAGGTGACCTGGAACCATAAGCTATAGCACCCCAAACCATAACTCCAACAGTGTGATGAACATGTCTTTCAACAAAAAACTGTGGATTCCTCCTTTCACCACGTCGCCTTCTAACCCTGGCACGACCATCGTGCATGCCCTAAACAAAATCGAGACTCGTCACTAAAGACAATACTGTTCCATTCCTGATCCAGAGTGACCGTTGTCTGCACCACTCAAGGCGATTACGTCGGTGTTCTCGAGTTAAAGGGAGGACCAGTGTGGCTCGGTTTGAAAACAAGCCAAAACTTCTCTTCGTCGGTAAACACTTCGCATGCCAATAGGTCTTCCGTGTTCTGCAAACCATTCACTTGCAATGGACCTGGTAGTGGAGAACGGTCCCTTAAGGCCAATAATCTTAGGCGGGCGATCTTCACGGTCTGTTGTTCTACGGCGGCGTCCAGTGCCCCTTGCTCTTTGCGTACGGCCTTCTCGAAGCCATGCCTGATAACACCTAACCACACTTCTTGCACTCTAACTGCAATTGCCCGAAAAGAAAGTCCAGCTTCCGAAGTCCCACTATACGGCCCTATCAAACTCACTAAGTTGACGAAATCGTACAGGTCTCCGTACTCTAGGCATCGTAACCGATCGTAAAGGATGTCAGAACCAAATCCGCCAACGTTGATTCTTTACTGCGGCTGAAATATCATTTTTAGAGCGTTAGTGAATTAAAAAAAAATCAGTATAAAAACCGGAATGTCCAACTGATAAGGCTGAAAATTTTTTCACTCGTTATTTACAGTAAGATAAATACATTCACCAACTTTTATTAAAATAAAACCATTTAAACTGGGTGTTCGGATTTATATGTCACTTAGTATATCTGCTCACTTCTAGAGTGTAAGCAGTTATCGGTAGGAAATGTAAGAGATTACAGTTCGCGTTCACAGTGAACGTAGATGCTGACGATTCTGGCGATATAGCAGTTATAGTCTACTTGCCATGACAAACTAAACATGCTTCTTTCGTCCCAGCCTGGGCCATGCTGATGAGTTACCAAAAAGTACGAAACAGCTTACCATGGTTGGCTGTCGGTGGTCGGACGGGCGAAAGCAGCATCTTGGTGATTGGGCTACCAAACGCGAACTGAGATCTTTATAGTATTCTCACAGTGGTCGAATCTCGTAATAGATGCGTTATCTCATTTCTACAGATCTCTTGTCTTCGATAGAAGATAATGATAATTGCTACGAATTCGTTCGTTGTCCCAGAGACCAAGCCTAGACAATGCTGATGAGTTGCCAAAAAGGACGAAACAGGCTATCTGCAGTCGGTCTCAACGAAAGCAGCATGTTTAGTTTAAGTCGTAGGGTCTTAACAGCTAATTAGCTAAGGGACAACTTACAGTTTTACAAATAGCTCGTGTTTTCATGAAGTTAAAAATCACCGGCGAAATGTGGCATAACTCTTTGAATACAGAAGTTAAACCTATAACCTTTCCTAATGCTCATTAGCTTCTATAGGGCCCTTCGCCGGAGATGCCACGGTTTAGATTAGTAGCAAAAGCGAAAGGTCTGCTTAAAATTCAATTTTTTTAACTTCAATACCCTGCGTCTTGGATAATATTTTTAATTTAAACAATGATGACAATGTATACGATAGCCATAAGTGTGGTTAGGTTTACTCGCAAACGTCAAAACATCAGTAAGCCGGCAATTATTAAAACGGTGTGATTGAGCGCGCTAAAATTAAGGAAATTCATGAGCTATGGTTCGTGTCGTTCAAAGAAGGAAGAAAATATACCATCGAGTGCTGTATCTAAAAAAAGTTGCTTAATTCATCTAAGTCGCACTGGTATATTAACGCGATTTTATAAATTTCTACTTGCCTAATATACGCACAAATCAAATCAAAGGTATAGTAATTAGTAGCAAGATAGCATATGTAACTCCTTACTGTTGACTGACAACGGTCTTACCAATCTAGATATTGACAACACGATGCTGACGTCGCTGAATGAAATCGGTCAAATGGATGGACTTTCGTTTCCTGAATGTATTTATTTTAGAAAGGTCCTTTGTATTTATAAATAATAGATATCTATATTTGTGCCTTTTCTAATTATACTGAAATCACTTCTACATGCGTTGCATACGAGTATATACAGAGACCTTACCCGACTATTATTTACTATTTTATCCATTTTCTACATTGATATCAAGATGTATACAATTACAACTACTGTTTGCAGTGTATACAATCGTGACATATACAATACGCCCATCGCTGCTTACAAACACAAACTATGTTCATAACCAAAAGTTTTCATGGAGATAGTTATAGGAAATCGCATATCAATCGAAAAATTGTGGTTATCAAAACTGGAAAATGAGTTTCTCCGTATTTTAGCGATTAAAAGTCCTGCGGGCACCAAATGACTAGTCAGACAATACTTTAACCCATTTTTATTTCTATTCAGGTGTCCTGTTCAGTTAATTTTTTACTGACGTAAATAACGTAACGACATTTGTTGTCACGGTGTGACGTGTTGAAGTATCGTAGTAAATATTGTCTATGTTTACATAAAATTTGTAGAATTGCTTAAAAATACAAAGAATATTTCGCGATTTAACCTTGATCAGTGCTAAGAAAATCAAGAAATGATAGTTTGAAACTAGCACGATTTAAATACTCCTTCCCACCCCCCTGTAATGGTCAACATCCGATTTTAACTGCTGCAAATTTTTTTTTAAATTATCAGTTTGCTGTGAAACGTCAAAAATTAAGTTGATACGATTTTAATTTTGTCGTTTTTGACCTCTTTCTCCGCCGCTACTGAACCAATTGTAAAAACTATAAAGCCTTTTCGTCCTTGACACAGTAGTAAGCTTGCGTGAAATTTGCATCAAAATCCGAGCAGTACTTCCCAAGTTATAAACCGGCGGGACTGAGCTACATGGTTTTTCGTAGTGTAGAGGTCATATAACATCCAAAAAATATGATTATTTATTTAAGATAACCGTATACGACGTCTAACGCTTATTGAAAGTTGTGGTATTGAGAAAATGTGAATAGGCAGTGGACATAGATAACTCTTTTTACTTACCTGATTGAGCGGGTGGTCACTATTTAATTTTCTAGGTTAGTAACAATGTCTACTTAAGCAACATTATGAGCCACCAAAGCTGCTTGGCCTATGTGCAGAGAATTTCGAATGAAGCAGTAAAACCATACACTTCTACATAATACAGTCTAGTCCACCAGTTCATCAGACAATGATTGAAAATAGCATATCAATCGAAGCGGTGGCTTCTATTAGATTGTAATTCCTAGTGGAAGTATACTATCAGTACCTTGCACTAGCTGCGGGGTTGTCTACTTTAAGGTCTGCGACGTCAGTGCCATTTATTTGTCTTGTATCAAGTTGATAAAGCCTGATAAAATACGACACCGCTCGTTCATTGAGACGTACGAACCATACAGTAATAATGCTCATTTATCGGAATCACTGCTAAAATATTGTTGAATCTTCGCACGTACCCGTTCTATCACATCCTTCTATAAAGTCCCAAAAACCATGCTAGTGAAGTGCAGGTTGCAGTGATTTAGGCAAATTACAGAAAAACTGCTATTGCCCCATTCCCCCATACCTGGCACTCGCGACGTATGTGCTAGTGAGGGGGTGTAAATAGTATAGATAACTATGTACCCTACTTTGAGCGCCTTCTCCAGAATGCGCCCAAAGTAGGAGACATTAAATGTAGGGATTACTAGTTGTATTAAAAATGTACAGTGTTATCAGTGTTTGAAATGTCGAAAGCATTATTGTTACTTGTAAATAGAAGTGTCAAAAATGCCAACTATTGTTTTTAAAAACAGGAATGTCATGATTTTGTAGCTGCTTAAGTGGTGAAACAGTATCAGGTGAGACTTTTGTACGAAATAAAGAGGATATCGTGTTTTTTGGTTGACCAGAGTTCAAATAGCAATGGAAATGAAAATCCATGACGTTACTCAATCTTTTACGTACATGACGTTAGAATGGGACTGGTGAGCCGCGGCAAACGGAGTTGACTCGTAAGTTATCGGATTATCGCCGGTAAGCAGTAGTTTTATCGGAAGGTGACCTTAGAAAATGCGGCATTGGCCGGCGGGAAGGCTGTCAGCCACTTGGATATTTTTTGCATTACAAACGTAAGCCGTTCTAGCAAAGTTGTGTTATCACGACATGCCGTATAGACGAGTAAAGACAACAGCGGGCAAGCGTTTGATTAAATGATAAATATGGTCATTGTGCTGCTATCTTGCGGATATAGCTTTTCAAGGAACGGGGATGATCGCCGTAAGTGATGCTGAAGTGTTATAAATGCAACCACATGTAACATGAAATCGATTGCAAATGTATATAAAATAGAACCTTTTATATATTACCCAGTTATAATATCTTTTTGAATTTTGAACACATTCTCAAAATAAAGGATTGATGATACATTTTTCCTATTTTAGAGATTTCAGAAAAACGGCAAAAACTCCAGTTCAAAATCCAGAAGTAATCGGTATTTCACTGATAATGGTATCGTTTCCTATAAAGAAATGATTGCTTATGGTGGCTTAGTTGGAAGCACTTTCTTCAGTTGGGGTTGCCACCGGTGGTACTAGAAATCAGTTAAGAGAGTATCGTTTGTAGTCCACCTACTACAAGTTTAGCGTTTGATAATGATGCGGAAATATAGTAAAGTATTCTATATAGTTTCTAATAATGAACACATCCTTACTTCCCACGTTCATAAAACTGATGCTGCCCATTCTCTTCATCATCCAACATAAGATAACCACTCTCCTGCGGATACACCTTGGTCATATTCAGTAGCAACATCATCAATTGACCTTTGCATTGAGGTATTCCGTAGGTCAGGAAAAAATGTTCATTCTGAGTGTCATTCATCATTCGTTGCAAAGTTGGTTGGAAGGTGGAGATGTTTGGGTTCGAAGGCACACATTGCTCAATGATCGTGTCAAAGTGCATGGTTTCTGGACAGCATTTTTGGATGCAGGTGGAGACTGTGCAGGGACACATCATCAAAGCATATGATCTGGAGAAAATAATAGTAATAATAAATCTTTATTTCAAAATAACAGTGCATGAATACAATTACACACTGATAGGTGAAATATACGTCACAGTGTCATCAAGACAGAAAAAACAAAGAGGCAAAACATATAGCATAATAGAGATATTACATTTCAAAATATTCTTGAAGGTCATATGGTTCTAAGTGCATTAACAATTGATAAATACTCTTTTTATATTCTTTTATATCTGCCAACCTTTTAATTTCTTGTTTTAACTTATATATTTTAGTGCAGCTGTAATGGACATTTTTTTCGGTAACCGTGAGATGATGGACTGGATACAGAAGATTTATATTTCTATTTCTTGTGTGATAGTCACTTCGTGGGTTTCCGATAAAATTGTCAATATTTTTAATTGCAAAAATTAGAATCTCTTGAATATGTATTGCGGCTACAGTCAAAATTTTATTACTCTTAAATTTTCCTCTGCAAGTCTCTCTCGAGGAAATTTTTAGGATGCAGCTCAGCACTCGCTTTTGCACTAGTAAGATCCTATTGGTATGGCTACTGTGTCCTTAAAAAATTATTCCAAAACGTACAATGGACTCAAAATTCGCGTAATATACCATTTTTAGAGTCTTGAGGTCTAGGTACTTGCTTAGTACTCTAATACTATAACATGCATTGCTTAACCTTTCTCCTAGATGTTCTATATGTTTAGCCAAGGAAAGTGCTTGGTCAATATGAACTCCACAGAATTTTCCACAGTCTGTCAGAGGGACTTCTATTCTTTTTGCTAAAGTGTTGTTTGTAGCTTCGATTTTTTTTCTTAACTTAAAAACAATCGCATTTGTTTTTGAGGTATTCAGAGATAATCTATTACGAGCAAACCACAAAAACGCTTTTTCGCAGAGGCTCAAAGTACTATCAGCTAAATGGTCGAAATCTTGGCCAGATACTAGTACACTAGTGTCATCAGCGTATTGGATCGTGCATACATTATTTGGGCTTGTAATACTAGCACACAGATCGTTCACAAAAATTAAAAAGAGGAAAGGTCCTAAGACGCTACCTTGTGGAATATATCTTTCTACCGTTAACTGTGATGAAACAGCTGATATTTCATTCTTTGTAATGAAAACACTTTGCTTCTGTCAGATAAGACTTAATCCAGTTCCAAGCACTTCCCCTTGTCCCGTATGCCTCGAAAATGAATACATATACGACTTATTTCAAATTCCAGAAACTGTTCGTCGAAGTGTTTGGTATAAACGAAAACATTGTGTGTTGTAAGAAGTCGCGAATTTACCAGAAGCGAAGTGCATAGTGAAGGGACTAAATCCATAGCCGCGCAAGCGCAATGGTGCCGTCATTTGTGAGACAGATATACAGGGTGACTTCGAAGTTGAGTCATTTATTTTAACAGTGAGTAGATCTGATCAAAAGAAATGTTTTTTTCTTTTACCATTTTTCTGGTAAAATTAAAGGAACAAAGTTATAGCCCTTTGGAAGTTTGAGTACCGCCCTGTCTCAATAATAATATTATGTGTTTGACAACAACGGATATCGGTTCATCGCATCGGAAACAAAAAAGCGAAAGAATTTGAAACGTTTATCACGTTGTTTTTCGTCAGTCGGTAACGCGTGGGTGAATAGTGATGTTTGTTGCGTGACTCAAACGAAATGAAAAATGGCACATGTTTACGAAAATGCTGAACTTGTGGACATGATTCTTATTTACGGGGGGGCAGTCTTTACAAAATGCTGCCGGATGCATCACGGATTTATGCGAATCGGTTTCCCAATCGAGTGCAACCAACCCCTCGTGCCTTTGTTAATGTAGTACAAAAGGCTCGTGAATCAGGTGACTTAAGACCTCACAGGTGAGAGCATGCCGGTGCTCCAAGACCGCACGATCAAATACAGGTCCGCACTGAAATACTTGTCGGGAGAATACTTTATTAAACAAGGTAACATTTTTTTTTTATTTTTACACACATATTTTGGTTTATCTTCCTTCTACAATCATTATCTGAAAATTAATGACTCAACTTCAAAGTCACCCTGTATATATATATGACAACATAATAGGAAATAAAAAAACTTGTTTAGATCTTGCAACTGATAAAAAAGTGATTTGCTCGACAACAAATACACCCTGGTATAGCAAGAATATCAAGGCAGCTCAAAATTTGAGAGACAAACAATACAAAAAATGTATATTCACACAATCAAATGATGATTGGGAGGTATATAAAACTCTTAGGAATAAATGTGTATATGTAATTAGAGAAGAAAAAAGTTAATTCTACGATAAACAAATCGATAATAACAAGTGCGACAGTGTAAAGATGTGGAAGACTTTAAAAAGACTGATCAATTCGAAGCCGCTTGATTGTGTAAATCAAGTTCAATTCGAAAACGGTACCAAAACAAATTCTTTGGTGATTGCAAACAAACTAAATGAATATTTTGTGGAAGGTATTGTTGATATTGTGGGTACTGCCAATGCTGCACCTGACTATATGAAAATCAGTTTCCAGGGGGAAATGTTGCATACACTTTCAAAATTTCACAGCGTATCATTGAATTATCTAAGAAAAAATCAAATAACAACTGTGCCGAAATCACTACTAAAAACGTGCTGAAAAACTGTTTCGAAATTTTGGGTTATCCTGTGTTAAATTGGATCAATTGTTCACTGAGAAGCAGTTCTTTTCCTGAAAATTTGAAATGCTCTACAATAACACCAGTTCTCAAAATAAAAAATTCTAAAAGATGCAGCGATATGAGACCAGTAAATGTGTTACCAGACATTGAAAAATTATTAGAGTCCATAGTGCATGACCAATTAATGCAGTTTATAGAAGAAAACAAAATTTTAGTGGAGGCGCAAGCAGGCTTTCGAAAAAAATATTCCACAGAAACGGCATTTGAAACGATTGATAGAGATATTTTGTTAGGTAAATTGAAGGCATATGGTATAACAGGAAGTGTTTTAGATTGGGTTAGAAATTATTTGTCTAAAAGGATGCAAGTTACAAAAGTTAATGACACTATTTCATCAAAAATTGAAAATACGTTGGGTGTTCCACAGGGCAGTATCCTGGGACCACTTCTTTTTATTTTATACATAAATGATTTACCTGCCATAGTCAAAAAATGCAAAATTCAGATTTTCGCCGATGACACTATGATTTATATAAGTACTAAAAATATTCAGTCTGGTATCTCTTATATAAATGAAGACTTGAAGCTTGTCTCAAAATGGTTATCATCTAACAGACTAAAATTAAATGCAAGTAAAACGAAAGCCTTGTTAACCGGAAAAAAACAATGTACAAATGTTCAACTGAATATTGATGGTGAAGATATTGAATTCGTAGAAAATTTTAAATACCTGGGGGTTTTTGTTGACTCTCGATTAATTTTTGATATTCATTATGACAAAGTTATAAATAAGATTAGTAGTAAAGTGGGATATTTATCGAGAGTTTCTGGATGTCTGAGTTCATATAGCAGAAAAATTATCTATAATACCATCATTCTTCCAAATTTCTTGTACTGTTCGACTATTCTATATTTAGCAAATAATTCCATTTTTGAAAGGCTGCAAATTTTACAAAATAAGTTCATGAGAATAATACTAAATAAAGATAAATATACTCCAATTAGGCAAATGATTAGTAAATCAAAATGGCTCAATGTAAAAAAATTTATCAAATATCTTGTAATGATATTCATTTATAAAGTAAAAAATAATATATTTCCATCAAGTCTTACTAATTTAACATCATCAAATGTCGACCATCATTTACATAATACCAGAAATAAGGATGACTTCCATTTAATGACCAAAAAGTATATCATATGCTACAAATCTGTATTCCATCAAGGGTTGATTGAATATAATAAATTATACTCGGAGATAAAAGACCAGAAAACTTTGACAAAATTTAAAGTAAAATTGAGAAATCACTTGTTAAATCTACAATTATAGGTTGCCCAGCATTTACATCATACACCATATGGCTTGAATTTACTAGTTCTAAGTTGTTTACAATTATTCTGTTTATGTAGCCAAATGTGCTAAATAAATCTTTCTACTACTACTAGACAATTGTCAGTTTGAGATTCAAATTTTTTCTAACCTCAAATCAACTAAATGTCTGTTATTTTATGGGTATCTGTTTATTTTTATGCTGTAGAGCACAAATATTTCTGTTCTACATCCGCTAGGTAGTGCTGCCATGGCGCACCCAGCGAATACATAACATACTAGGAGCTTTTAGCAAAAATAATGAATTATTGAGCCTTCCGTTACGTTACTTATGAGAGCGACAGCGAATAAAGATGGTTAAAAAAATCTGTGTCCTTGTGACCACTACAGTGAACCGTAGTAATTTCAAAGTACCGAGTCCTGGCAGTCATGGCAGGCGGCTTATTTCTTTCGATTTTGACGTGAAGCTAACCCCTCAATTTCAAAACGTTAAATTATTTTAATCAAATATTTCGCTAATACTCCAAGGGCAAGAAAGAAATAGGCTTAGAATCATAGAACCACAGAACGACAAGTGACCACAAAACTAACAGAACTACAATAAAAAGACATTCAATCAATTTAAATACTGTCTACTGCTTATAACGGGTGATTTTTTAAGAGGTATAGGATTTGATTTAAAAAAAACACAAAAAATTTGAAAAAACGATTAAATCTTTATTTGAGTCGATAGAACGGTCGATATAATTTAATGTTTAAAGATTATTTCATGTAAATGTTGGCCGCGGCTCCGCTTTAGATGGTCCATGCGCAAGGTCCAATTTTGGCACACTCTCTCCAACATATCGGCCGGTATCTCACGAATAAATGCTTCAATATTGGCTTCCAGTGCGTCAATCGTTGCTGGTTTATCCCTGTAGACATTAGCCTTAACATGGTCCCACAAGAAATAGTCCAACGGCGTTAAATCACACGATCTAGGCGGCCAAATGACGGGCCCCAAACGTGAGATAAACTGTTCACCGAACTCGCCTATCAATAGGGCCATTGTTTCGTGTGCGGTGTGGCATGTGGCACCGTCTTGTTGAAACCACATGTCAGCCAAGTCCAGCTCTTCCATTTTGGGCAAAAAAAAGTTTGTTATCATCGCACGGTAGCACTCGCCATTCACAGTTACGTTCCGGCCATTGTCGTCTTTGAAGAAGTACGACCCGATGTTGCCACCGGCCCATAATCCACACCAAACAGTGATTTTTTCGAGATGCATTGGTAGCTCTTGCAATGCTTCTGGCTGGTCTTCACTCCAGATGCGGCAATTTTGCTTGTTAACGTACCCATTCAACCAGAAATGAGCTTCGTCGCTGAACTTTTTTTCGATAAAAATGTGGATCTTCCTCCAACTTTGCCAGCGCCCATTCACCAAATTGGAAACGTTGTGGGAGGTCGTGTGGCTTCAATTCTCGCACCAGCTGTAACTTATAAGGTTTTACACCCAAATCCTGTCGCAAAATTTTCCACGTAGTGGAGTAACAGAGGCCCAATTGCTGCGAACGGCGGCGAAACGACATTTCACGTTTATCACTAACACTGGCGGATACAGCCGCAATATTTTCTTCAGTCCTCACTCTACGTCTTCGTGTTGGTGGTTTAATGTCCAATAATGTAAACTGGGTTCGAAATTTAGTCACAAGCTTCCGAATAGCTCCCTCAGTAGGCCGACCAGATTGCCCATAAATTGGAAGCAGTGCTCGATGCACTCTCTTAACCGAGCATGAATTTTGATAGTAAAATTCAATAATTTGCAAGCGTTGTTCGTTCGTAAGTCGATTCATGGTTAAATTATAGACCAAACTGAACAAGTTCGACAATGACACAAGACACGATTCACGCGTCATCTGTCAAAAACAGTGTTGCCAAAAAGATACTAGCAAAAAAATCACCCATTATTTATTTTTATGTGATTTGAAACTCATATTTCTGTTATATTATAACAACATCGCCGCATAAGGAAATATAAGCTTACGAAATAAGCCCTCCACTCCGTAGCTAACGGAGCTTTCTCATTTTGATAACGGATAACAAAGGATAATCTTGCTACTGCCCAAAATCGGAATAACGAAGCAGCAAAATAAGAACACTAAACTATTTCTATTACGGAAGTGGGATTCTGTTCACATCACTTGCTTAAAACTTATAGGTTACCCAATTGTTGGCTTGTACACGGTCGAAACTGAACATGGCATAAAAGTTCAAGGGGTGCTTTGTTAGACTATTTTGCTCTTTGACAATTTACGGAGAACAAAGTTTTCGAAAATATTATTTTTATTAGCAAAAACATAATGTTCAAAGTCTAAATCTACAGAAGCTGCAAGACTCTTGTGCCCTATTTAAAAAGTTGCAATTTTAAAAAGGTTACAGCTCCTTGAATAGAATCACGTCTACTTTCTAGTAGTTATTCTATTCCTTCGTTTTGAAGAATGGATATCATTACACAATATTTGTAGATTGTATAATATATTTGAAACATTTAATGTATAACTTACAGCTCTCCTTCATGTTTCGCTTCATCCACACAATATGTAGTCGATGGAAACTTCTTCATAGTATTGTTAACTACCAAAAGCTCCCCATTCTTGTGATTGATGTAATGGGTTTTGAGCTGTCCACCCTTAGGCCAGTACACCACTATCAAAAAAACGTAGTATCAAGATTTTAATAACATACACAGTAGAAACAAATAAAAAACTAATCCCCTTTGTAAATATAGCGTCGCTGTTTATTGAATCAAAACTGTTGCATATAAGAAAAATACTTCTCACGCCTTCGAAACAACTTCTAGTGCAATTTCCATGTCGCGCAATGACATCAAAACAGTAGGTTTTGCTAGAAACAATAATGCACCGTTTGAGCTTTACATGAACAAAAAGATTCCTCAGATGGCAACAATATTACGCCCACATGATCTAGAGCGGCGTTCCTCTTATAAGTCACTTAGATTGAGTTTCAAAGATGCAGTATTTATAAATAACCATGTGGCGCACATCGTATGCGACCGATAGGCTGCTTAAAATATTGTTGTTTGTAAATGTACGGGCAAATCTGTGAGATGTGAAACATATCTAATAGGTGCGCAGAATTGCTGAGGATGGAGGTGTATTAATATATCAACATAAATAAACTGAGATCCTCCACCGACAGACTAACAGACAGACTGACAGACAGATCGACAGTCAGACTGGCAGGCATGTCGACAGACAGACAGACCGGCTGACAGACAAACCGACTGACAGACAGACCGACAGACAGTCAGACAAAGCGGCAGACAGACCGACCTACACACAGACCGAGAGACAATATCACGTTTTCGAAAATTTTCGCGATTTCAGTACTTCCTAGAGCAGTAGACGTGGAAAGTAAAAATTAATTTGGTATAACATTACATTAGAATTTAATAGAAACAAGCATTCAACCATTTATAAGAATTACGAATGTGACAGTAGTAATGAAAAGAACAAAATTATTGCATCATAAAAGAAAATAATGCTGAAATCATTTATATACTTAGATCCAAAATTATACCATAACATTCTAACACAATTAAAAAGAACAGAATACCATTATTAGAATAAGGTCTGCATGAGTAACTATAGGATACAGACACAAACATTATGCAATTTATAAAAATTCTAACATATAAATATCTATCTTTTCCGCATTACTGATCTACAATACTAAATTACTGTATTATATTCATATTGTATAGAGTTTTTCTAGTCCCTGTCAATCCCGTAAACCATTTATGGTTACTACTGTATTATGTGTTGTAGTGAGACCCACGCAGAAGGATATTATCCTTTTGTGGTATACCGATTTATTCGCAGTTTATAATTAGTGTAAATAAATATTATTACTATTATTAACAATGTATCTCAAACAATTCCGCTTATCCGCCCCTGACATGCACAATCATAATTTATTGGTAGCAATTTATTGAGTCTACGTACCTTCGGATTTGTCTCCTGAACAAATATGTGCAAAATATTCACTTAGGACCATTTGATCTGAATTCAGTTTGGCAGGTTTCATAGACGCATCGACTGCAATGCTGTTAGCAATGGCAACAATCTCATCTTTCTTCTCAACTGTTTCGCATTCCAGTGTATCATTAAGTATCTGAAAGATAGAAATTCGAATCTAAACCGCTAAAATTTATTTAAAAAAAATCTAGGAATCTCGTATGCATGCAAATACTTTTCAAAAACTTCACACGTTTTATAAGACGAAAGATATCCTGAATAGGTACATCGAGATTTTGTTTTTGAATCAAACCAATGATTTTTTAAATATATCATGCTCGTTTATAACTTTGGAATATAGAAGTTTCAGAACTTACAAATATTTTGAAAAATGTTTTTCTTTAGGTCATTAATCGTCTATGGATTGTTTGATTAGATTTTATCATTGAGGAACCTCCTCAAAAAATTTCAAGCGGGGTTAGATGGTATGATCTCGCAAGAACCTACTTCAGTATTGCGAAAAATCATGTGGGCATCAGATAAACATATTTTTGAAAATTCCAAAGTGTCCCGCAGTATGATACGCGATTTGGGCTACGAAAAGTCCATATCTGTGGTAATGCACGTATCCACGCGCGACTGTTGGAGATAGTTCTGAGTTTTAAGAGTAAATGCACGGAGACATCTATGAAGCGTGAAATATGTCTAATAGGTGCAAAAAACACACTGGAGCTGGAGGCGTATAATTATACCATCAGAAGAAAAACTGAGATATACCCTCCACCACCCTCCTCAAACCGTCAAAAAAAAGAAGTTCGAACGATTTTTATCCTACCGATAGACTGAGAGATCGATAGACATGCAGACCGACGGAAATAAGAGACATGGGTTTTTGTCATATACATGTCATATAACATCCAAAAGCCATAATATCTCAATTTCGAAATTTTGCGCAATTACAATACTGCCTCAAAAGTAGGCGCCGGAAATAAAAATGAGAGTGGAATCTCTTCGTACATTTGTACAATTATGATGCGTTCGTACGCCATAAAATAATCCTTAATGAAATCCCTAGGACTAAAAAGAAACAAGCATATTTTAAAATTTATAGGTCGTTGAAAAATGGAACCTTGAAATACCAAAGTATCTATTAAAACCAAGGAACTCGAATAGATTAGGCGGAGCTAAGCCTATAGTCTACATTGCATTGTTTGTCGCAAGTGCATACTTTTGACTCATTTAATTACCATCGCCTGCAAAGTGACTTTGTATCAACATAATAGTAATAATACCGCCGGAAATATCTACCTTCATTGGACTTGTGCCGCTCTTTGCAAATTATGCAAGAAGTATTATGTCCTGAAATTGTTTAACACCACAATTATCTGTAAACGCTCACATTTTCAAAAAATAACACTATAAATTCGAATTTAATGACAGAACTGTCAAAAAACGAACTCATGTCAAGTTCACTTGTAGTATGCACTTTCATCCTGACTACAGATTGAAATTTTGGAGACAAACAAGTCGTAGGTTTGATCCTCCTAACTAGTCTAAATTCGTTGATTAAACACTTTTGAGGCACTATTCTTACCATCCCTCTGGAGCAACATTCGTTGATAAGCAGCTCTTCCGCATTCTCAACCACTCTCTCCGTTCTTTCTTCCCAAGGCTTCAAATACTCAGGATTTTCAGGAGGTCCAGAAAGTAGGCCCGAAGGTCCAGAGACCAGAGGTGGAGGTCCAGAAGTCACATCCTGAGACCCGTTGAGAGGTCGTACGACCTTTGCTTCTACAGATCGAGCCAGGATCATTGCAGTCACTGCCAATACCGTGGCAGTACTGGAAGTGAGTAACATTATGCTCATATTCCGAACTGGTGACATCTCGGAACGAATTTTCGATTAATTCTTCATGAACTGTCATAGATGATACGTTGACATCCAGCCTTTACAGAGTGCTCAGAAAATAAATAGATTCGGCTAGACATGTTTTCTGGGGATCCGCAAGAATAAAGTCTATTCAAGTAATCCACATACAAAAGGTCATTGAAAATTTTAGTCAAAACATGATCATCTGTAGGAACCAAAGAATCCCAAAAGATTAGACGGAGCCAAACCTATATGTTAGCATTGTAATGTTTTTCGCCAAAAGTGTGTATACTTTTGGATAATTTGCCCACTATTGCCTGCCAAAGTGACATCGGAGTACATTTTTTGCAGTGTTGCGATGTGAATCGCTCATTTATTCTTAGCAAATAGGGATAAATCAAACAAGGCAAAGAAACGAAAATCAATATTTAGTATACATCAGAGGTCGCCAACCCGTCGATCGCGAGCTACCGGTAGCTCGCAAAGGCAATTGTGGTGGCTCACAGGATATTTTTAAACGGTGTAAAAATCATAGAAGCTTCCGAAAATTTTGTAAATTCTCATAATAAACACAAGCAGCGGCAACACCGCGGTGAGCGATCTGTTCGTGAACGATCTCGATTAATTTGAACAGAATAAATACGCCAGGCGCGGCGACAGTGCGCTCAGCTTAAAACTGAACGGTACAACGTCCAGAGGTTGGGCTAGAATTGGCCTGCAACTAAAAACATTATGAGCAGTAGTAAAAAGATGAAGATATACCATTTCCATTCGGAATGGGAAGAACAATATTGCTTTACAGAAGTTAAAGTTAAAAATGTATGCTTGTAATGTAATACATCTGTTTCCGCTGCTAAAAAAGAGAATATCAAGAGGCACTGTAAAACTGTACATTCGAATTTTGAAAAATCATTCCCATTACGTTCTGCAACCAGAACGGAAAAACTGAGACAATAGAAAAGTTCATTTAATTGGACAACAGGCAATGTTCTTAAAAACAATCGACAAAAGTAAGGTTGCAACTGAAGCATCATACCGGGTGTCCCAGATAATTACACAAAAGAAGAAACCTTATGAAGACAGGGAAATGATAAAACAGGCGTTTGTAGAAGCTGCAGATTTTTTATTTGCCAACTTTAGAGATAAAGTCAAGATAGAGTCTGCTATAAAATCTATGCAGTAGAAGTAATGTGCAATGATATAGTTTTACAGTTGAGAAAAGACTTCGATAACTGTGCTTATTTTTCACTGCAGCTGTATGAGTCCAGAGATGTGGTTGACACCTCTCAGATGGCTGTGTTCTTCAGGATGGTTTTTAGTGATTTTACGATTAAAGAAGCTCTTTTGAAGTTTATTCTACTAAAAGGACAGGATACTGGGTAGGGCTTGTTTTCTTCTTTTAAAAATATTATTCCTTCTGAGGAAATTCCATTATCGAAAATAGTAGGCTTGACAACCGATTGCGCTCCAGCTATGCTTACGACTAGGTAGCTTACCGTTTATTCCAAAATGATGATGATGATGAAGTAGCTCAACACACTGAAAAGGTCGGCGGCCACTGGTATAGATATATAATAGTTGAGCATAGTATGGAAATTCCTATTATATCATTGTCACTAGATTTGGAAGTATTTTAATGAATTTGATATGCATAGCTTTTTTGATCGTACTAAGCTCCCACCATAGAATCTTGTCGCACTGAAAAGAGCTCTTCCTTTTCAGTAAAGATTGTATAACAAATAAACGAATAACTATTCGTCCACAATGTTATACTTGAAATAAAACAAAACACCAAACAAATCTAAATCAAGACGATCGCGCTAAAAAAATGAATGTCGAAATGCAGGAAATACACGATGCAAATGCCCTATTTATATACCTTTACTCATTTTGGTCGGACCAGCGACTGAGCGCTTCCGCATCAGACACCTCATGCGAATTTGTATTGAGTTAGCTATGTGCTATTGCAGACTATGATATTGATATAAATCTCATCTAGGTCGATTCAGCCATTTTCCCGTGATTGAGTAGCAAACCTCCACACTTTCTAATTCATAATATTGAGTAAGGAAGTATATATAACATCATACTACATACTGACCATATAAATAAGCACAACATTTTTATGTACAGAATTTTTTTTTATTTTGAACTGTACCACCGTTCAATCATGTATTTCATGTATTCATTTGTCTCTTCCCACAATAGCCCTGACTGGGGTAACTTCGTGACTTGAAGCCCATGTAAACAAGGCGTCTTCATGCAGCGATTTTGTTCGTCGACGCCTCGATTGTTCTTTTCATTGGTCGGTAATTTATCGTTATCTGTCAATTTTCAGCATTCATTTGTCAGAGCAAGGGTGCTGAAATGACAGCTTGCGTGTTACTTTGCGTGTACACAGTCAAGAAAGGAGAAACAATATTGGACAGTCATCACTTCTTAATATTTTGAAGATGATTTATTGGTCTTGTATCCGATGGTATTGTTTTGATTCATAATACTACAGTTAGCCCAGGAAGTATATTCGCAACCGCTTGGAAAAATATTCTGATTCGATTTTTCCGAACAATCTTACTCAAAAAGGATATCTTTCAACGAGTCTGTAAGTTGGCAGGCCCAAAGTTGCATCAAACGCTGTTTAAACAATTTTTAAACAAATTCCAAAAATTGGCTTTTTCGATCCGAGCAAAGTTTTCTAGTAAACTACTGATATAGCTCTCGCCCATCTGCTCACAGACCAGAAACCATGGACAGTGGTTTCGTGCTTCATCGGCAACTTGTCAGCATGTCCTAGGCTTGGTCTCGGATAGGACAACGATCGAAAGCTGAGCAACTCTCATCTGTCCAAGGATATCCTTTTTTCCAAATAAGACCACAAAGTGCCATCTATCACCAGAAGGGACCACTGCGAGAGTGTATATATCCCAGTTCGTATTGTTGTTTCCTGAGACAAAGCTAATGAGTTGCCAAAAAGCACCAAACAGCTGTAAATTATTGGCCTTTTGTGGTCGGACGGAAGAAAGCTATAGTAGCTTCTTTTTTTCTTGCAAGTGAGTGAAGTGATTCTTCCCAGAGATCAAAAGGAACGGTCAAATGAGATATCCATCTCACAAGCACGGAACATGTACTTAGAGCGTCAGATTACAGTGTTCTATACATTTTTTGCATAATATTAGTGCACTTTTAAAATTTTGCAACTAAAGGCTTGTAAAATATTTAATCAAAAGTCGTCAATCCCCAGAAAATATTTATATAAACATAACCAACAAATAATTGCATAGAATCATCCAATCAAGTGAGCCGAAACTCTCGTTAAAGCGTGTACCGAGAAGCACTTGGTTCAGGGGCCAGTCTAGAAGTGAGGAATCACATCTCACTTTGACAAATGAAACGCATTGACATGTGGAGCAATTTGAAGCCAGGTAAGATTATCTGAGAAAATGGCGAAAAATAAAGGGACTTTATTACTAGTTTGTTCAATGGCGGAGAGATGGTATCTACTATAGGACCAGAATCGGCGACATTTAGCGGCCACGCTAGGGACACGGCTAACAATTCGAACTGGAATACAGTTCCAGCAGACAACTTGCTGTTTCTCTCTCTCACAGTTGTCGATTCTGGTAACAGATGGCACTTTGTGTTGTCATATTTCGAAAATATTTGAGGTTTTTTAAATCATTCTAAACAATTTCTTATGAAATTTACTCTGATCATTGTTTTCAAGATGTAAGCGATCTAATATTTGTAAAAGCTCGAGATAGGCCATTTTAGACCACGCAACATAATAAGAAAAAAAGGTTTCAATGTTGCGAAACTTATTTACTACTCTCCGAAACTTTAAAGTTAGTCAAACGCTGGAAAGATGCAGCAATCCTCGGCAGAGATCTCTTTATTCTCTTTTTCATATGGATGAAGTTAGGCATTACACGAATAAATAATATTGCATGCGAAATAGCACGGAACTCATAAAGAGCCTTTTTGAATTTCGTAATCGAGATATTTCATTCGTCAAAATTCCGCGAATCTGACCAGGTTTTATTGGCCATCTGTTTTGATCTCTCGCCTTAACATCAAATAACAAAAATTAACAGCACAGTGACAGTGTATGACATGCAAGAACCCCCTCGATGCCCCTCCACACACCGTTTGCGAAGAGCCATCCCTCGGTTAAAAACCCCTCCAAAAAAACTCTTAACCCGTTGTGGATGATTAGTGCATGAAAAAAATATGAAAGAGAGTTTGAATCATATCAAATTCGTTTTTGTCTGGAAACTTGAAAATTTTGGGAGTTTGCTTGAAACGACAAATGTTTGGTAACGGTATGTACCTAAACGTGACCGAAGCGATTGAAGGTTATTTCACACGTTACCGAGTGATTTCGATCATATTTTGAGTAGTTAAAAAATCCAAAATTCACGGTGGGAATGTTAAATGTTATTACTGTATTGGCTTTCGCCTAATTATGCGTCTCTGAAATGCTGAACAGACGTGGCGGTACCAGAGCTGGGTACCACAAGTGGTGCCGGAGGTCGACCCAGATTTCACGTGTCCGTCATGTCGCATCATGACAAGAACACGAAGGAATTAATTTCTGCTTCGTCGTACGACTCGAGTCTCCAGCAGGGCACTATATTAAGTACCACCTAATGTTCCAGTTCATTGTATTGTAATTGTCTGGATTTGAGTTTTACGAGTGATTTTTTTTATAATATTCAATTATAGTTTCCAAATCACCAATCGGGCAGTCTCTACACCAACGGATCTATACCGATAGAAATTGTGTATCGAATTTAATATTTTTTGGGGCATTATATGTTTCATAACAAAAACCATTGACAACGTTTCTACATATTAATAATACTAACGTGTAAATACCTATATTAATGAAAATTTATCGAAAATTAAAAAAAAATTGCATCGGCCGGGAATCGAACCCGGGCCGCCCGCGTGGCAGGCGAGCATTCTACCACTGAACCACCGATGCCTTTGATTTTTCTTTGCTAAAAATAAGCTGCTATATGCATAAATTCATTTTCAACATGTAATAATAGTTCCCTGTTTGTGGTGGGTCAGTGTCAATGTTGCCGAACCGAAAAGAAGCAAATCGGTAGATAGTGTCGTTGAAATTCGGTGAGCTTAAGGACAAAATCGGTGGAAAGAAAAAAGCAGATTCGACTCTCGTCGCAAGATAATACGTATAGACGTCTATATTAACAGAATTACAAAATTATAGGGGACTTATTGGCGAATCAAGGGCTTTTG